TCTCTCTCTCACTCTCGCTTTCTCTTTAGTTTATCTCTCTTTTCCTTCTCTCTCCTCTTTGCAATGATAATTGGCTCGCTCGCATGCTCGCTCAGGATTATATAAAAATTTCGCCGGCGAGTAAACCGAAAGTCACAGTCGTCGAAATTTGTTAAGAAAGCGTGCTTTAAAGTGCGAGTTCCGATGGCTACGGTGCTTGACGAGCAAAATCTCGAGCATCTCGAGAATAAGAACGCAAAGGAATCGTCTGGTCCTTTCGTATCTTCTTTTTTTCTTCTTTCCCCCATTACGTTCCGCATTTGCGTACACCGCGCGCGTACCAATTGCGCGAGGGTCAAGTCAAGATAAACTCAAGAGAAGCGCATCCATGTCTTTATCGTAAAATCACAAAACAGTCTCATTCTAAGATATACACAAAGCTAGAAGCTCGAGCAAAATGTGATGAGTCTACATGGTTAGTACAAAGAAGTAGTACCATTTGTCGGACGTTTCTTTTTTTCTAAAAGTACAAAGAGCAGACGTCAACAAAATGTCTTGCTGTTAGTGCTCGAATATAGTACAGTTACGGGGACAAAAATGGAGATACCTGCCTCTGGCCAGTTCTGTGTCCACGCAAACTTACAACGCTAACGATATCATCCTTTGTCGTGTTCGGAAAACATATTATAGAAAAAGGTACACCTCAGATACCGCAATACACGCGTGACAACGTCGTCGCAAGACGTTGACAGGCATAATAATTCGTCTCCTTTTCGAGAATTTGACTCACTCGTTTCTCGAAACATTGTTAATAAAGAAACGGTATATCGTAACGCGCGCACATATCATGCCAAATTTCATTCGCGGATTTTACACCCTACAAGCTTTGAAAGTTTAAGTTCGTATGTTTGAAAAGCATGTATAGCTATAGAGGAAAGTCCTCTATTATGAAATAGGATTCTAATACGAGATAGCAGGTTTTCAACGTCCCAAATTGAATAACAAATATTTTCTCGCACCGATTACACGATCCAATAAACAGATTTCACTTCAAAAGTAATAAATTCATGATGGAACCAACAGATGCCTAGTAACTTCGCAGAAACTCCGCTATCTCACATCAGGAGCCTATATCATAATAGGGAACTTTTCTCCACTGTATACAGTACGTTAGCTTTGAGTGCTAAATTGTGTTTTTTAAATAATAGAATTTTAAGAAATTTTTTGGAATACAAGTTATTTTGCTTAAGATCATGGTACATATACAGGGTATTTTCTAAGTAAGTGTCAAAAATGAAAGGGAACATTCCTTGGCTTATTTTATGAAGGAAATGTTCTATGAGTGTCCTAAAGTGCTTTGTTTTCAAAATACAGGATGTCAAGGTTGAAGGAAAAATTGAAAAATTTGAAAATTTAAGAAAACGCTGAGAGAGACTTTTAAATTTGACGTGCACGCATGTGGTATTAAGAACTACTTTTCAATAAAATTTTTAGATCCACTGGGAGCGCGCGTATAAATAACTTGTCGCTTGTACTTAGTCGCTTATACTTGGCGCGAGACACTACCGTGTCTCGTGATCATATTAAGTTTTGTCAGTGAAAAAATGGTACGCCATTGTTTGCTTTCTAACAATAAGTCTAATTACATTAATACATGCGAGTTTTTAGAAATCTCGAACTAAAACTTCACAGAAACTGTCTTTTGTGTTTTTTTATGCGGTTAGCAGAGTTAAAATAAAAAATTGAAATTAAAAGTGTAGCTTCGCTGTTTATTAGGGAACAGATTGCTTCATCGGTATTGAAAAATTGTTCTTTAGACTAAATGTACGCGTGGCAAATTTTAATAAAATATCTCTACGTTTTCGTAAATTAAAAAAAAATTTTCTGCAATTTGAAAACCTTGCGTTTTGAAAATGGTACATTTTAGGATATACGTTCATAAGACATTTTTTTCATAGAATAATCCAAGGAATATCCCCCTTACATTTTCGACACTTAGAAAACACCCTGTATATATGTAAAAATTATATATCTATATGTGTGCTTGTATAATATAAAAGATGCAACAGTCGAGAAATTGTATATACAATATCGAAAATTATATTTGACAAAATACAATTGTGTATGATGAAATTCAACGAGAATACTTAACAATTGTCAAACATAAGAACATTGACTGTACAGTATAGTAATGTTAGAATGCAGGCAAATCAGGTAACAATAAGAATAAAAGCATAAAATGCCGCCTATGTCTTTTCCATAACTATTTTTCTGCGCAAAAAAAACAAGATTATTCACTATAAAAAAATTGTAATATAATTGTAGTATAATACAGATCACATTAAGCGAAGTGTATATGTCGGAAATATACAAATTTGTATACAAATTGTACGGAATACATTAATTTAGTCGCTTCGACGACACTGCAGCCAAGCGGACCTGCATTCGTAAATTCAGTGTCTTCGACTAAAATGTAAAACTCCGCTGCGTGGTTGCGCACTTACCTGGAGCACGATGCGACGCGATTGATATCTCGAGCATAGCCTCCGCGAGATCTTCTCTCAGTTGGCTCTCGCAACTACCAACGGCCACGTTCTCGCTATCCAGAGGATCACCGTAAGCCTCCACGAATCTCGGCGATTGTTCATAACTGCCTGTAAAGTATAATAGATCTTACTCTCTTGTAAACAATTTGTCCTATTCTCATATATAATAACACATTACTTTCTTCTTAAACTGAAACATGCATTGTAACTCGCGTGTTTACCTACCGACAATTATTGCGCACTTACTTCCTGATCCGTCAATGACAACCGGCATCAACGGCCTGGACGCCGCATGGGGCATATTAACGGGTTTCGATCTCGCTGGGCGGGATCCCGTGATTCCAATCTCCACTGCCTCCGCTTCGACCAGATTAACAGCAACACTAGTGATAATAGACTTTGATTAAATCCCCGTTTTCGACAGGGAAAATCATGATTAATCGGCAAAAATTGAGGAAACCAACCCGCTAGGTGCGTTGTAAGTCTTGAAGACGAATTGTGGGCCCATCCATAATCGTCTGTGCGGTCCAGCGTGCGTCACGATTTCCACTTGACTCAACCAACGATCCTCGACAGTTTCAAATTCCTGATTGTTCTTTGGCGCGAACGAAACACTGAGCAACGGGTTCGACAGAGACAACGGTAAGATGAGATCCGATGAATTGGGAGATCTACAAAGTGGCCACTGTCCCTTAACTTCGACCTCCAATTCAATGGTAGTGTCGTCGCAAACTTTCTCCTTTGGTACTCCTAAAGCAAGGACGAGCGAGCATTAGCTAACAGACGCAGAAAAAGATTTTTGAATAATATAAATCATCCGAGTTCTTTTGTAAAAAAATATTGTATATATAAGATGCATTTGCTTTCTGTGATATACCAGCAGCTGGTTTGGGATCCAAGTCATACTGTATCATGTTTCCATGGCACGCCATGATAAACAGAGAATCGACCGCCCTTTTGACAACTTTGCTACTGGACTCCCTTTGCGCGTACATCCAAGCTCTCGGCGGAGCAAAACACGCGCAGATCTTCAACGGTAAAGTCCCACTGTCGTCAGAATGTAACCGTTGCCTCTGTTGCGGTCTACTATGGAATATACGATATCTTTTAATTACACCTTTATAGCTTATTGCTCCCCTGTGAAACTAGTTTTCTACGAAACCAGTAGCTACCTTGGCTGCGTGGAGCTGTTGACTTGATTCAAAGACGACGGTTGCCGAATCTGCGACAGAGGATGCAGTATCGTTGGATGAGGGTACGGAGGAAGTCTAGGATTGGAGTAGGGATACACAGACAAAGGCAGTTCAGTGTGTGACACAGGAGAGTGGGATCGAGTGCCATCGTCCGTCAAGCCTGCACTTTTGTGGAATCTCGATAGTCTATTGACGACATTGGGTGTAGAATGCGTCCTGACACCAACAGGACCTCCATAAGGTGCGACAGGAAAAACATGCGTTGTACCTCTCACGGTTGAAATAGCGGCCCAACGTGTATCGCTCGAAAATACCATGTCCTAATGCAGTAAACACACGATACATGTTTTTATGTAAACTTAAAAACAAACACTTAATAAATATAACGAAATGCAAATTTTACAAAATATTATAGTACTTTTCTGTTCAACCGTTCTACCTGTATACGAGCGGATGGACACCTAATTCGTAACATCCTTTATACAGGGTAGGCCATTTTAATCTACGCACTGAAATCTCTCAAAATCCATAAGTTTAAGACAAAAGTTGTTCAAGATAATGGGGGTCACCTATCTGTGTAACTAGCTTTAACCTTGAGACTACTTTTCAAGGTTATTTGAAGGTAGAGTGGTTTTTTTAAGTGGGAACCCCTATTTTTATTACATATTCTTATAGCTTACCTCGAGAGCTTCCCAAAACGCTATAATAAAGTATTTTTTATTAAGAACTTTTTGAGTTATTAAGGTTTGAAAGTTTCAATATTTTGACATAAATTATAATACAAAATATCCTGTAAAATATTCATTTTTTTATCATCTTTACCTTAATACTTTTTTTGAACAGAATAATGAGACAAATCAACTGGTGTAAAGAAAACACAATTGTTTAAAAAAAATTTTTTTTATTACTTGTTACAAAATTGTGTGTTTTCTTTACACCGGTTGATTTGTCTCATTATTCTGTTCAAAAAAGTATTAAGGTAAGATGATAAAAAAATGAATATTTTACAAGATATTTTGTAATTTATGTCAAAATATTGGAACTTTCAAACCTTAATAACTCAGAAAGTTCTTAATAAAAGAATACTTTATTATAGCGTTTTGGGAAGCTCTCGAGGTAAGCTATAAGAATATGTAATAAAAATAGGTGTTCCCATTTTAAAAACCACTCTGACCTTCAAATAACCTTAAAAAGTAGTCTCAAGGTCAAAGCTAGTTACACAGATAGGTGATCCCCATTATCTTGAACAACTTTTGTCTGAAACATTTTTGACTTAAACTTATGGATTTTGAGAGATTTCAGTGCGTAGATTAAAATGGCCTACCCTGTATATGTATGTATGTATTATACATATGTATGTATGTACACTAGGACCGGTATTCATAGTCAGATCTTATACTCAAGACCATCGTGAATTTATCTAAAGATGATCTTAAAATAGTCTTGAATATAAAATCTAACTATGAATTCTGGTCCTAGTGTACATACGATTGTTCATATGTACACGGAAAAAAAAGATGTTTCAATAAGATCAGTGTAATTGCAACTACAAAATTCGTGATATCACCTTAAAAAATAACCTTTGTTAATAAAAAAAAAGATTTAAAAAGACGTCAAGTATAAGCGTCATCCAATCAAAAATTATATAATTTAATTATTTGGATATCTTTTATTTTTTTAAAAAAATTATTTTCTCCCTCCCTCCACAGTATCTTCTCTACAAAAGTAATGATATCATCAAATATGCCGCCAACTAAACTGAATATTTATAAAAACTAGGTAGTTTATTATTTTTTATATTGAAATGTTACAGCCAAACAATCGAGCATAAAATTTTATCGGAAGAAATAAAGGAAATAATAATATTAATGAGATAAATTTTTTATACTTATTCCATAAAAATTTAATACGAATAAATATTTTGTTAAAAGATCGCCTTTTCTAATTTAATTGTGGGATACATATCGATCCTGATTCATGACATCATTGTTTATTATTATAAAAAGACTTGGCACTGCTAAACCAAATGTTAATTGCGCTCTTCCTCTTTCCTTACAAAAGTGTTAAACTCTTTCTTTCTTTTGTGCAATCATGTGCGTATATATACGCGTGCGCGTATGGGTTACGAAATAGGGATTAGAGTTAATTGTAAGTTTAGATTGTATATTTCAGCGGTTTAGCAGCGCTAAATTTTTTTATAAACAATGACGTCATGAATCAGGATCGATATGTATCCCACAATTAAATTATAAAAGGCGATCTTTTAATAAAATATTTGTTCGTATTAAATTTTTGTGGAATAAGTATTAAAAATTGGTCTCATTAATATTATTATTTCCTTTATTTCTTCCGATAAAATTTTATGCTCGATTGTTTGGCTATAACATTCTAATATAAAAAATAATAAAGTATGTTGTTTGTAAAATATGAATATTCAGTTTAGTTGGCGCCATTTGATGATATCATTATTTTTGTAGAGAAGATACTTTGGAGGGGGGGAAGAAAATTTTTTTAAAATAAAAGTAAATATAACGAAATCTAAGCAGTAAGTAGTAAGAATTCTTAAAGTCGCCAACAGTAATTAATAAATTAATAACATCAGTGATTTTTGTCGACCGTGTCTGGCAATTAAAATTCTTATTGCAAAAAATATTACCCCAGCCAGGATTCGAACCTGGGACCTCCCTACAATCCGTGACGGGCGTCTTAGCCAGCTCGACCACTGGGGCTGTGATAATACTATTCGTAATAACATGTATATAACTTAATATGTTGTTTACGCGTCTATTTCGACTTTTCAGAAACTGTGCGTCGATACGGATTGTCGACCGCACAATAAACTGTCGATACGCGATTTTTTAGAATTTCCCTTTCCCTTCCCTTCCCCTGATCCCATTCCATAAGCAGTAAGAATGTTAGGAATGTATACCTGTACTTTGGCGGTGGTGTCGCCACGATGTAAAATATATAAATGATGTACCGCCGCCAATGTTGGCCCACCAGGATGCGGCTGGATTCTAAAGATATGGAAGTCGTGTCCCCTCTTGTCCGCCGTCATTAATAACGCACCGGTCAGATCGAAAGTCATGGCGACGATCGCGTCGCTATGGGCGGTGAAATGAGCGATCACGGCGTCCGCGTTCGCGTCGTCCAGTTCCTTCTCGTCCCTCGCGACCTGAAGATCTAGTATCGTGACGACGCCCGGCTGCGTGACGTCGTTGCCCGCGTTATTGACGGCCATCGGCGACACCGAGTTCCCGGTGAGACTTGACGCCACGGTTTCACCCAATCCACGAAGTCCTTTTCCCAGTGACTTCGCCGCGTATAAAACCGTCGCGGTGTAACTTTGAACGCCCTCCCCCTCGCAACCACCGCTGCTTCTTCTCGCGGGTATTAACTTTTTCTCGCTGCGGACACATCGCAAAGAGCAATTATTTCAGATTTAACGAGACGTACACGCACGCTGCGCACCACGTAAGATATTGAAATTGTTAGAAAATAAAGAGCAAAATGTATACGTAAAGCTGTATACCTGTAAGCGAGCCATCGTGTTCCCAGGGCGACGGGATTTGGATTTGGGCCAGGGCTGGCGTAGCAGGTCGTGATTGTAATATTATTTTGCAATGTTCTGGCATCGAAGACCGCAATTTTTTCTAATAACGTTACGACCACAGACCGCCTGTTCGCCAGCACGTCGCAAACGGGATGCTTGAATCCTACGCTGTGCACTTGCTCGCCGGTCTTCAAGGAGATGAAGTTGACATCGCAAAACTTTGGTCCCGGAAGGCTCGAATCCGGCTCGGAGCAGATCGCTACCATCGGCCGTTTCGCTTCGAATTCGTCGGCGTGTTCGTCGTCAGTCTTTGGATTTGGTAGAATTCGAAGGGTACGAACCACACCCTGCCGCCACGACAGGACTTCCGTTGCCTCGCCCGTCGCTGCTATCAGCCATACCTGCGTTTACAAGGATCGGTAAATTATCGCGATCACGCGTCAGCTTAAAACCTGGATGAAAGATACAATCATGTCCCTTAGTCAAACGGGAAATCTGCGTATGCTCGAAAAACTTTCAGGCGGTAAAAAACCTTCAATTAAAAAACTGTAGTTTTTTTTATAAGTTGCTCCTAGAGAAAATATATCGGCCATTGTTAGGAACTTCGAAAAGTCACTTTTTAACATTTTCAGCAACCTTTAAATACATACAATTGCTGCCGATTATATCCTTTTCGGTAATATTTCCTTGTGAAAGAAGAACTTTTGTAGAAATATTTTCTTTTTAATTTAACATTAAAATTGGTAGAGGTCAACGTAGGAAAGAAAGTAAGTAAAAATGTAGATGTCAAAATAAGAAGACTAAAAAATCCACAGATTTGGTACATATCATCTTTATACAGAGCTTGGTATCTTCATTCTTTTCATCAAAGATACAGATACGTGTTACATTTCTTGAATTCCGTCGATTTTGATACAGACACAAGATGCACTGAATGATTTTTCCGGAGAAAGATACAGATAAAGATAGTAGCTATATCTGTACTGGTATCTTTTAAAAAGATACCAATCTCTCATTGCCACTGCCAGTACTGGCAGTTAGAGCTTGATATCTTAACTCTTTCGTTAAGAATACAGATATCGATCGGATCAGCCGTTATCGAGATCCGATAATCTGTAGAGCCTCTTAACTCCGTACTCGCGTAAAGATATATATACGGTCGGTGTCGAGCGCGCCATTTTTGCTACGCTTATACTTGGCGCGAGACACTACAGTGTCTCCTGGCAAAATAAATTTTCAGTGAAGAGATACAGATACACAAGTTACATTTCTTGAATTCCTTCGATTTAGATATAGATACAAGATGCACTGAATGATTTATCCAGAGAAAGATACAGATAGATAGTATTTGTGTCTACACCTCTAACTATATCTTTAAAAAAAAAAGACTAGACAACACAAGTGCGCGCCATTTGCTCTCTCTAAAAATTTGCATGGTTTAACAGCTTCAAATAACACGACTGAAGCATGTCGTATCGCACAAGCGAGACAGCCAATCAGCATCTCGGAAAAGCGACAACAATACTTGAAGACTTTCGACTTAACACGCCTTTTTTATATAAGAGAAAATAAGAGAAAACTAGTACGCAGCGGGCGCCTCCACTGCTTTTTTAATTATTTCTTGTATTTAAAACTTATTTAAATACGGGAAGATCCAGGTTCAAACCCTGGCTGAGGTGTTACTTTACGCAAATTTTCTTTAAAGTTTTTTTCAGCGATGAAGAAAGGAAGGAATTTAATAAATGCTTGTTAATATAAAAAATAATTAGATTACTTGTGAAATATTATAATAAATTAATTTTATTATTTTAACTTGTTATTGACAAATAATATTTACGAACTGTCACATCGCGGCTGTCACCATCATCATCGCCGCGAAACTCGCCGCGGACTCGATCGCCGACTTCGACAACCAATCGGAAACCACATATCCAGAGAACATTATGACGTCTTAAAGACGTCTTAAATAGTTCTAAGACATCTTATGAAGTTGTCAGAAAGACGTCTTATGTCCCGATTTTCGACGTCTTTTAGACTTGTCTTAAAGACATCTTTAAGACGTCTTGAAAACAAATCCAAAAGACGTCCTCGAGACATGTATTATAGGCATATCGACTGATCTCTTTTGCAAGGTCTTATCTCGATATTACGCAATTTCTGGTTTTTGTACTTGGGCCGCGGTCAAGCGGACATCGAAGAGTTATTTCCTCTTCTATAGGAATGAGAACTAAGCTTCTCTTGGAAGTCGCGATTACTACTTTCAGGTGTAGTATGCTGAGGAATAACGATTATTTTTCTAAAATTCTGCCGTTGATAGACCTCCTTATATCCCATTCAACGATTTTTAAATGCGAGTTACTTTTAAAAATTACCTCCCCCTAGCGGATTAATTTATGAATCTTTTGTGTTGCTAAGCACCCCCTTGAAAGTAATCGATACTCTAAGTTGTCAGTAATGTGCAGTTCTGGTTATGAGTGGCTGTCACAACTGCCACAATCGTTATACACTACATATTACACTACAAATCTCATTATTCTAATTTCACAAACTCTTCTATTTTTAAAATACTTTCAAACATCTTAGCAATATGTCACAGATGCTTTAACAAAAGTATTAATTCGAACTTTAAAGGTTATATAAACACTACTGGACATATAATCAATATTTAATATTTTTATAAAGGCATCATAAAGACGTCTTTTTGACAATGTCTTAAGACGTTTTTTCTCTGACGTCTTATAGACGTCTTTTAGTAAAGTCTTAAAGATGTCTCTTTTAAGACGTCTTTAACCCGGCGAGAGTGTGGCAGGGTATGTCATACCCACCATGTTACTTATTTGCGTGTATTTTTTGTTTGTGACCTTCAAATCTGTTGTTGCTTTGAGTAGCTGGAGTTAAAGGGGTGCGGGAGGGGATAGTGGCGTGATCGCAGTGTCGCGGCAGCCTGCGCTCGAGTCATACCCTGCCACATACTCCTTGTTACATTTTTCACCACACTCTCGCCGGGTTAAAGCCTAATCTACAATGTGCTCCCTGCGTCTAGAAACATTCTATTTTGTAGCTAATGTATACGTTTACAAAATTTATGCAAGTTGATAAATTGTATATTATACATTGTATAATCGTACATTGTTGACAAATTTGTTGAGCGTTTTGATCTGTTTATATAAAATAGAATGTTTCTAGATGCGGAAAGCACATTGTAGATTAGACTTTAGACGTCGTTTAGACATGCATGTTGTCTGGGTAAAACGGCAACAATACTTACGATTTATTCGACCCCGAACACGCACTTCACGAGTAAACATGACTTCTTTTATTAGGGATAATAATAATAATATATAGGATACCAAGCTCTGTCTTTATAGTAATAACGGAACGCTCGAAAGTTTTCAAAAATCTTGCAAATAAAGGAAATGCTTCTATGAAACGTTACCGTGGAAGGAAACATGAGATCGGACGACACCAATCGCAAAAGGCGACGTTTCGGAGTAAAGCGGCGACACTTACCTGAACGCCAACCGCGTATCCTAGTACCAACAACAACGGCGGCGTGCTGGAACCTTCATTGTAATCGGGATATAAAGCGGGGTCGTTTATATCCGCGTATTCAAACCGCGCCCATGATATGCTTTCCTTGTTATCGGAGTTGGACACTCCGGCGTAGCCCTGCAAAGTGATCGCAAAGCTGTTACTTGTGGACTTTGGAGTCACGACACTAAAATGATTTCGATCAGCTATACCTGCGGTACTATATCGTTGATGATCCCGGCAACACTGTCGATGATCGATCGGTCCACTATGGGCTGGGGCGAAACAACTTGAGCTCCTTTGTGCACACCTCGCCTCGGCGATTCCGCAGACATCTTTTATTCCTCAGTTAATTTTATCTATCTGCAAAGACAGCGAAATCAGTGTGGAACAGAAGTACCGTAGAAACTTTTTCTACATTTTAAGAACGCGTTACTTTATCGCGCAGACCACGCCAGCTCTCAGTGCATAAATTCAGAAGAACAATGTAAATTAAATATTTATCAAACGCTCGAGGTACTGAAACTCTTATTTAACGTCTTCACCAAGTATTTGCGCGTTTTGTGCCTAACAAGTGGATTGTTCCAAGTTACGTTCGAATTTCCCGAACGTCGTACACTTTGGACCCTTCGATTCCACGAGAAATTGTGTTGAAAAGTCGCGCACGGAAAATTATGCCAGAACGTGAAGTCCCAATTAAAAGTCGTGCTCTGTAAACAGCTCCACGAGACACGAGGGCACAATCCCGCGGAATCTAGAAAGATCGCGCCGATACAAAGGAAGAGCTTCGACAGAATGGACACTTGTGTTTTTTTTTATGTTTAAGACAATGTTTTATGCTCCTAGTCTTTGTTTCAAGTCAATATCGTGGGCTCAGATCTAAACTATGTTCACAAAGCAACGTACTGAACGGACGTATATTTGTAAACACGTAAAAGTAACAGTTTTACTGCACGGCCACCAACAGTAAAGGAATACTTTATAAATATTGCCTTGAAATGATGAATCAGTTGCTCTGCTAAAGCCGTTACGCGCTGCAACAACTGTCTCGTATCGAGGCTTTAAAGCCTAATCTACCATGTGCTCTACAACAGAAACGTTCTATCTAGAGACCCTAAAGGGAATCTGGAAAACATTTGCCACTATGCGTCAAATCTAGTAACTTTTACAAGTTTGGAAACTTTCTAAATGATACAAAACCAAATAGAGAAAATAATGGAGTTATTTATTTGAGATTACAATGCATCGCCATTGCTTTGCTATTGTACGCTCACTTTTTTTATTAATTTCCTTTCGTTCGATACTCGTAACCTAAATATAATATATCGAGGTATAATTTTGTCTTTTAAATTGTGACAATTAAAAAATATTGTTTATCTTAAAACACTGTTTACTATTTACTATTTCGACGCATAACGACTGTTCCCAAGGACAAGCATACGTATGTAAACACACGAAAGCAACAATTTCACTGTACGACTGTCAACGACAAACGACATGAATTTGCGCTGACGACGATACTGTAACGTCGAAGCGTTCGCACTGTTAATTATCCAAGTACAATCTTTTCGCACTGTCACCTTAACTAGCCTCGCTACTGTTTGGCCTTTTCTCATCTATTTGTCAACAAACGAACATCCTACAAACATTGTCTTGAAACTACAAGTCAGCCATTCGTACCGAGGCCCTCCAGAGACTCGATAACGCGCGGTGTTTGGTCAACGAGCGACACGGGAGGAGCGACACGGGAACAAAGGATGGCAACACTCGCCGCACACGTCCTCCCGTGAACACGGCGGCCTCGACATCCAGGGAGGAGAGTAACCCCCGGGTGGGCGCGAGGGGAGCAATTATTCGCGCAACGGGACGGGCGTAATAGTCGCGCGCGGAGGACAAAGAACCCACGTTCAAGGTGCACCGTTCGCGGACCGCTGGACCGACTCCGCGAGTCGCGGACATTACTGCCGCCGTCGACGCTCAAGTCTCGCAGAGCGTCGTCGTCGTCGTCACGGAGTGCATTATTCAACGCGTACGAAAAGTGGGAAAGTACATCGGCCAGCCCGTGCCGTAGTAGCGCGGTGTGTTGACGACGGCTGGCGGTGGAAACGGAACGGAACGGAACGGGACGGGGAGTCTATTTTGCCAGCCATCGCGCAAAGGAGAGGGAGAGAGATACGATGTGTTGCACAACGCAGCGCACAGCTGTGCGCGAATCGCGCGCTCAGGGACAATCGACGGGAAAGTCACGAAGCGGGAGGAAGGGCGGCCACGCCGAGTGGCGCGTTATTCGTTATTCCGCCCCTGTAAACAAGGGGGGCCGTGGAATGCGTGCGTGGAGCGGCCGAATTGGAAAACGGATGCGCGCTCCGAACGGTTTACGCAATCGCGTTGAAAACAGTGACAGCGAACGCGCGGGAGGGGGACGTAAGGAGATCGTCAGAGGAACAAAGGGATCCTCGCTTATCGCGCGCGTTCGTTCGCTCGAGTGTCTGGCGCAAGCGAGCCGTCGTCGTCGTCGCTATCGAACGACGAGAACGTCGGCCGTCGTGGTCGATAAATGCGGAAAGACGGAACGAAGCGAGACCCAAGCCCAGCGAGTACACAACACACTTACTTCACCGCGAAATTTCACCGTGTTTTCTCATTGTGCGAGAAGAGCGAGAGAGAGAAAGAGAGAGAGAGAGAGAAAAGAGAGTACGCCACACTGCACTCCGCGCGCGCGCCGCCACCACCGCCGCCGCCGTTGCCGCTGCCCTTCGTCTACTGCGTCATTCTACGTCCCGCAAGCGACTGACGGGCGCGAGCCAGGCGGACGACAGTGGCTATGATGTCACGCAGTACGCGCTCGCGCGCGCGGAACTCGCCAGCGGGTTTCCGTTTTTTTTTCTTCCTTTTTCCTCTTCGCCCTTCCTCTCTCTTCCCCCCCGAGCCGCGACAGGAGAACGACACGGCAGCACGACGGGAACACGACGCGCAACCCGATCGCGCCTCCGAGTACCTCGGCCCGCGCACGGGCAACTTCACATCGCACGCACACACGCACACGCTTCCTCTCTCGCGAGTCTCGCGTCCTTCTCTCCGCTCGTCCGTTCCCCTCCGAGGGATCTGCTAGGTGGCACGGCGTGCGCGAAGCGACTACGACACGTACTCACGTCACGTACACGCGCGCGCGAGACGATCTGTTATTCTCCTCCTCCTCCTCCTCCTCCTCGCGGGCACACGCGCGCACGCACACATAAAAGGCGGAGGGAAGGAGGGAGAAAGACAACGCTCGCTGGCTTCTCGGAAACGGGAACGGGCGAGAGTAAACGCGCGGATGAACGTTGTGTGTATACGGGGTATATGTGTGTACGCACGTACGCGCTAACGTCACGCCGCCACCGTCCGCACCATGTCGGAGAAACGAAAACAATAATCAGCTGATTCGACGGCTGGGGGTCTACTTCGGGCGAGCGGCGGGGTCGAGCGCTCGTATCGGGGACGGATTCGGAGAGCAACGCCAGCGCCGCTTGTCCGCGATCGTTTTTGGTACGAGTACGTACGCTCGACGGTCCCTCTTTTTCCTCTTCCTCCTCCCGTGTGAACATTGCTTTTACCGGAAAGGGAGAGTTCTCCCCCCCCCCCCGTCTCTCTCTCTCTCAGTAAAATTTATTGTAATTTTAAGTACAGATGCGCTAGAGCTGAAAGGGATAACAGGGCATTTTATAGACTAACATGCATGTTTTAATATCTATTAAAGTTCGTGGCATATAAAAATATGTTACATACGCAAAAGATTGTAATGCTCACTTCTTTTCCATTACTATGCCCAGGTAGAACATAAAACTCATAATGATGTCATCGTGATTTAATTCATCACTTAAAAGTTACCCAAACAAAAATGATTGAAAAATGATTTAAAGAGGACACAAAGAATCATAGATTTTAAGTACATATTCAAACATTGGTACTTTTACGTTATAGTTAAAAGAGAGTTAAAAGAGATAATTAGAAAAGAATTTGTTAATTTTTATATTAACATGATGTACTTATATTATTCTAATATGACTGTCTGAATTTCTATTTTGAACTACTTCTATTTTTTTTAATCATTTTCTGTTATGCACGCGCAGTCTTTTTAAGCTGCTTTCCCATTAAAAATAAATATTTTATTTTAATTTTTACATTATTAACACATGATCTCTTAAAGTACTACATTTTGTGTGCAATAATGTTTATTATTAGTTATTTATAATAATAATATGTATACTCGCTAATAATATGTATAATTCAAATAAATTTCGTGTATCAATCAATTTGAGATAATATTCTTCTTTTTGGAGGTCATATTAAAGTCACTATGATAGCATAAATAAGTAAGTGACCAAAACATAGCCAAAATGTATCAAATGAGATAATTATGACTTTTCCAAAATGACTTTTAAGTAATGTCATAATGATGTCATTATGAGTTTTATGTTCTACCTGGCCCAAATAGCACATGACGTCCTCAGGATCATCCTGAATATGTCCTAGGACGTCCTGGGATGCCTTGAGGAAAATTGTATATTCGCAGGACGTTTTTGGGATGACCTTAGGATGTCCTTTATAGGATATCCTTAGGATATCCTATAAAGGACATCCTAATTTTCTTTAAGATATATGTATTTAGGAGAACATGAGGACGAACTCAGTAAAGCCACAGAACATATTGAGAGCAGTATAAAGGCATGTTCGGAAAAGCCATAGAACGTCCGGTATAAATACAGAGACGACGTCCTAAGGACATTTTTATAGGACAGTTTTAGGATTTCTCTGAAATATTCGATGTTATGCACAAATGTGACTGGATGTAATAAATTACATATTATGAATCAGCAAATAATGAAATTATTGATATCACTGATCAATTATCACAGGCACTATTTTTTATGAATGTTTATTATAGATATTTTGTGTGTGTGTGTGTGTGTGTGTGTGTGTGTGTGTGTGTGTGTGTGTGTGTGTGTGTCGTGCGTGTGTGCGTGTGTGCGTGCGTGCGTGCGTGTGCGTGCGTGTGTGTGCGTGCGTGCGTGCGTGCGTGCGTGCGTGCGTGCGTGCGTGCGTTTATACATATACAAAAAATTTCATAAATTCTGCTTTATTTTCTCGCGATTTGGAGGTCAGATCCATGATGTTATTAATTTTTAGAATTAGTGTAGTTCTTCAAATAATTTACAGTTATTTTCCAAATATTTATATAACGCATTAGACATGAAATTTTACACTATTATGCTATAAAATGGGATGGTATTAATTTACTGAACATTTTATACAAATAGAAAATTGTTAAAGAATCTTGTACATGATTGCTCAATTCCATACTCTTCCAAAAGAAACAATGCATTAGACGAGTTATGTATATTTATTTGATAAATACAGTACACTCGTACATATGTTATAACATATATGAATATAATTATTTTGGTAAATGTGCATAAAAAGACCCCACCTTCCGATGACCTTGATCTTGACATATGTTGTCAAGGTCACCCTCCTGAGTAACTCTTAGAAGTTTTTAGCCGGCGGTCGTTATTCGTTAGAAACTTATTAA